TCCTTATAGAAATAGACAATTCTGGGATAAACATACTATCACCACAGTAAAAAATCTAGAGACTCTCCAAGATGTAAGTGAAACATGACATGTCTTCATTCTCACCAAATTACCTTCTGTTTATCAATCATGAGAAAATAACTTCAGAAATACATGTACTTCAGTAGCATACTGCTGTGGATAGAGACTTAGAAAACTGTCCCAGTAACCTACTCACTACTTGTGTCCCAGTAGATGCACGACTCCAATCAAAACTAATAAAGAAATTGCTTTCTCTGAAATCCTTGAGTTGTAAGGCTACCAAACGTCCAGTTCCACATGAAGACAGGGAGCAGCTGCACTGAGAAAAGTGGCACGGTATTGGTGTGAATGATAGTTTTTGATGGCAATAGTAATCCATCCTTCCTACTATATCAGATGCAGGAAGGAGTATGTGCTATGGGAAGCGACCAGGTTTTTAAGGCCTTCATGTTCTATCAGCTACTCAAGGATTTGACTTAGTCTGACTATGGCATATTATCTACAGATAGGGAAATATTAGAACAACCTAGTTTTTTAGAGATAGTGATTTAGCTAAGGTTATGGTTATGAATAAGAACATTGAGGTGCCACCTACTTTCTCCATGCTTAGACTTTACCTGGTTCTGGTTGGTTGGTTTGTTCAGCTCTACCAGTTATCTCTTGACAGGTCCAGGGAAAGTTTCAGACTATCCATCATCTACATTTTCATTGCTGTGGTCTAAGTTTTTGCTGTTTTTCTTTCTGTGCCTTTTCATGTGCCCGACTAAGTATCCTGTCTTAGTTTGGGTTTTATGGCCGTGAAGAGACACCATGACCACAGCAACTCTTATAAAGGAAAACATGTCACTGAGGCTGGCTTACAGTTCAGAAGTTCAGTCCATTGTCATCATGATGGGAAGCATGTTGTCATGCAGGCAGACATGGTGTTGGAGAAGGAGCTGAGTGTTCTACATCTGGGTCTGCAAGCAGCAAGAAAAGACAGAGCTATTAAGCTTGGCTTGAGCTTCTGAGACCTTGAAGCCCACCCCCAGTGGCACACCTCCTCCAATAAAGCCACACCTATTCCAAGAAGGCCACACCCCCTAATAGTGCCACTCCCTATGGACTTATGGGGGCCAATTTTTCAAACCACCACACATATCTCAAGTTGATGATATATATTATTTCATTTTTTTCTCTTTCAAGCATTATTTCCTTATATTTCTTTGATAGATTCAAATTGATTATGCTTTTTATTTATATTTCTTTCATATTCCTTGTTCTCCCACATCCTTTTTAATTTTCCACAAGGTATTTTATAGTTAACAGACATATAACCATACCATCTTTTTAAAAATGAAATTACATTTGCTGTTATCATTAAAAATGTAATTATCTATCTATCTATCTATCTATCCATCTATTTACCTACCTACCTACCTACCTAATTACTTATCTATGTGTGTGTACACATTGAAAGAAAGTGAAAGAACACCAGACATAAGTGTGGACCCCCCTCCTGCACAAATCAAGCAACAGTCCATGGCAATGATTGTTTTCAAAATGACAGTTTGTATTATAAATATATAGTGGTTCACTTTAAGCAGAGTCATGTAAATTTCGATTTTTAAAAAATATTTTTTATTTTACATATGAGTGTTTTACCTGAGTGTGTATCTGTGCACCACACACATGCAGTGACCACGGAGACCAGAAGAGGACATCCTATCTCCTGGAACTGCAGTTACAGAGGTTGTGAGCCACCACATGGGCGCTGGGAATCTAACTTGGGTCCTGTGGAAGAAAAGCTAGTACTCCTAACTCTTGAGCCATCTCTTCACCCCAGACATGAGCATTTTAATATACTTTTTTTCAAAACCATGAATTGTATTTGTACTGCGGGAAAAGAATAACAAAGCACCTATTTTCTCTATGTAAACCCTCTTTATTTTGAAATCTTGCTTGCTTGAGTAAACTGTTTGTATTAATAGATTATGAAAAAATTACTTAGTTTTCAAAAAGGCTAACACAATTTGTGTGAATGTTACTAGAAGATCACAAGAGCTTTCTTTATTATTCTCCCTGAGGGCTGAATAAGCAAAGCCAGTTGAAGCCCATGAAGAAGGGCCACGAAGAAGTCTATATTGAAAGAGGTCTAGAATGTGGGTATTTAGAATATCATGGTGGAAATAATGCATTGAAAGCTGGAAACCATGTATCAACACAAAATACTGGTACTGTTTCTATATCTGAAAAAAGAGAAACTCCCTTTATACTTCTAGACTTATGAATATCACCAAAATAAAAACAAAACCTAACTGATAATGTGAGACATGACCCAACATGAGAAGTTCGAAGAACTTTACACAAAAAAACATAATATGTTCTTGAGTATTTTTTCCTCTGAATCTTAGGCATTCTTTTTATATCATCTACTTGTGAGAAATACTGGATTGTGTAATTTTCTGCATCATATATTTCCTCCCCTTTCTGTTATCCCCATAACTGTTTCAGCTCAAAGAATCTATTAAAACTAAATAATCATATGCTTCATTAAGTCTATAAGTTCAAATGATCTACATATGTAAAAGTTTTTTTTTTAAAGATTTTGATCCCTTGGATGAATTGTGTTTGGTGCTCAGATCAAATGAATTAAAACACTTCGAATTATTATAACACAAAGTGAATTACAAAAAAGCAAAAACCGTGCAGCAGGGTTGAAGTAGGCATCTGTTTTCTAAATGTTAAGAAAAGGATATTGTGATTTGCCCCCCACCTTTTTTTTTTACACAATGTGAGTTTTTGAAAACATGACTTTGTTATATTAATAAATCTTCCATTCCAGCTTTCTGGAATAGGCGAACAAGTTAAACATCACCATGATAACACAAATCTAGAACATAAGATAGCATATAAGACAAATGGTTTGAACATTTTATTAAAAACTGATTTTCAGAGACGGGCAACTATTCTATAATTAGTAGATGATACAACACTCAAACAATCACAGAACTTGGTTGAAACAGTTTCTGAGACATGGCTATAGCACAAGGCTGAGAAAAAGGTGTATCTGTAAAGGAAACTCGACAGTGACTTATCACAGCTAAGGAAAATTGGGAGAGGTTAATGGAAAGACAATAGTATATACCAAGAGTTGGATTTTAATATAGGATTATCATTCATTTTCTCAGGTGAGATAGTAGCATCATGGTTACACTTGACAATATCTTCATATTTAGGAGGTGCCTATTGAATGTTTGAAGACGAAATATTATGATGTATGTCTTTGTTAGGCTTTTCTGTTGCTGTGATAAAATACCAACTAAAAGCAACTTGGGGAATAAAGGTTTTATTTCACTTACATTTCCACATCACAATCCATCACTGAAGGAAGTCAGGGCAGGAACTCAAGCAGGGGAGATACCTGAAAGCAGGGACTGATGCAGACGTCATGTAGGAGTGCTGCTTACTGGCTCCCTTCCCATGTTTTCCTCTGTGTGCTTTCTTATAGAACCCAGGGCCACCACTCCAGTGATCTGGGCTCTCCCACATCAATCATCCATCAAGACAATGCACCACAGGCTTGTCTTCAGGCTAATCTGGTGAGGACCTTTTCTCAATTGATGTTCATTCTTTCCAAATGACTCTGGCCTGTGATCACTTTGACAGAAAACCAACCATGGCAATGTCTATGCAACTTTCACAAAAAAAAAAACAGCTATTTTGTTTGGGTGGAAGGTAGAGTTGTAGTTATTGTATATATTTTTTTAAACTTTTCTACACACTTGAATATTTTCTCTATATAAGTGTTTTTTTTCTATAATGTTTTAGTTGCTTTGTAGCCACTGTACACAGTAGTGGATTTCAAAAGGACAATTTTAATACACGCATATAATGCATTTTGAGCATTTTCTTCCATATCCCCATTAACATACTTTCCTATTATTATTATTATTATTATTATTATTATTATCCTTCTGCTCCTTTATTCCCCTAGCCTTCTACTTTCATGTTATATATACATATATGCCAAAGCAAAGGTTTTTAAAGATTATAGTAATAAACTTTGTTTTTTACAGCAATTTTAGGTCTCACAGAAAATCAAATACTACCCAGAGTTCCCATCTGCCATCTTTCTTCCACCACAACCCCCATTACTAATATCTTGCCTTAGCATAACACATTTGATAACACTGTTGTACAAATTACTGTCCACAAAAGTGAAAAGTTCACACTAGGATTGACCTGTTGTATGAGTCTATTTTTTTACGAACACATAATGTTACATATATATATATATACCTTTATAGTATAATAAAGGAAAATTTCATTGTCCTGAAAATCATCTGTTTTAGCTCTTTGTCCTTATTCTCCTCTACCCCTGATAATCAGCATCTTTTTAATGTCTTTATAATTTTCCTTTTGCCAGAATGTTATATAATTGAAACAATATTGTCTTTCTTTTAAAAAATGTTTTCACTGACTCTTCGAGAATTTCATGCAGTGTATTTTTGTCCTATTCACCCTTACTTTTCTTCTTAACTCCCCCCAGATCCATTCCCATCTCCTCACCCCCAGATTTGTGTCCTGTTTATTCTCATTTGGTAACCCAGCTACTCCAATTTGAGCTGTACATACACACCTGGGTGTGGGTTGTCCACTGGTGCGTGGTCTGGAGCCACACCTTAAAGAAAACTGACTTTCCCTTCCCCAGAAGCCATCAACTGTCCATAGCTCCCCAGGGGTGGGAGCTCATGAACCCCTTTCCAATCCATGCTGGAAGGTAGCCAGAGTAAGCAATATGCCGTTTTTATGGCTTGATAATTCATTTCTTTTCCCTGAGCATTCGAAAAGGATAACTTTTTAAACTTAGCAATAAGTTTCAGCTTATATACTTTGGATTCTGATTTAATAAACCGGCTCTTAAAGACTTTAAAAAAGATAAATAAGCAGTTTTAAATGTTTACTATGCACTTGGTATTATGAACCTACTAACTCTGACAGACGAAATAACTAAATTGCAGTTATATCAAAATGTTCTTATCTGTTAGAAAGGAAAAATAAAAACACAGATACTGACAAGAAATGGACTGACCATGGAGATTTTTTATGAGACTTGGTCATATCACACGTCAGGGAAATGTGGGTCTGAAACAATGCAAAGAGGAAGTGTTCGTGAGGACAGTTCTGCGCCCACTAGGACATTCTCATTAAATCCTGTGTGTTTCTTGGTCTTCTATTGAGTCTTTCAGTTGACGTTGACGTGAGAGCAGTAACCCAACTCTCAAATGTGGACATGCCCAAGTTGTGAATAAAAACTGGGAACTCCTAGTTAATAAGCTTTCTGTATGGCACCCAGTCAGCCTTTCAGTCCTGAAGTTGATTTTTCACCCCAATCCTCTTGAAACTGCGAAAAAACTCTGAATTTTTCGCATGCCTTACATACCGTTATAGAAGCAATGAAAGCCTTCGAAACACAGAGAAGATATTGGTATATTGTGAGACATAAAAGAATTGTGCTATTTAGAGAGCCATCAAAATGACGGTGAATTGTCTTAAAGCTCTGGAGAAAACAAGTGCTTAAAAAGAACACAGGGTGGCGCTGCAGCCTCATAAGTAGAAGAAACCGAGACCAGCCAACCATCCAGGAACCAGACGCTGAAGGGAGGAGGAAGGAGGGGAGGCCTTCTAAGGCAGCCGTTCTGCAAAGTCTTGGGCCTGGGGATTGTGGATTTATCCCATTGTCTGCAAGATATTTGCAGAGCAAGTCAGTGACGACGTGAACCACGGCTGGAGCGAGTTTGTTGGGAGACCAGAAGGCGATGGAGGCTGCAGAGGAAATGGAGCGAGTCCTGAAAAAAAGGCAAGTCCTGCTGTTCTTTGTTTTGCTGGGCATAGCTCAGGCTGGGTCCACTCTTAGGCGCTACTCAGTGGAGGAGGAAGCGGAGAATGGCTTTTTTGTGGCCAATTTGTTAAAGGACCTGGGGCTAGAGGTAGATGAACTTGCTGCGCGGGGACCACGAGTCATTTCCAAAGGGAAAAAATTGAACTTAGAGTTCAACAGGCAGACCGGGGATTTGTTATTAAGGGAGAAACTGGACCGGGAGGAGCTGTGCGGCCCCGCCGAACCCTGTGTGGTACCTTTCCAGGTGTTACTGGGAAATCCTTTGCAGATTTTTCAGGCTGAGCTACAGATTAGGGACATAAATGATCATTCTCCTGTTTTTCTGGACAAAGAAATAATTTTGAAAATTTCAGAAATGACTGCTTCCGGAACCACTTTCCTAATAGAACGGGCTCAAGACTTAGATGTAGGAAGCAACAGTCTCCAAACTTACACAATCAGCCCCAATTTCTATTTTCATCTTAAATTACAAGACAGTCCCGATGGCACGGTATTGCCACAGCTGGTTCTGGACAGAGTGCTGGATCGGGAGGAACAATCTGAAATCAGATTAATACTCACAGCGATAGATGGTGGGAGTCCACCCAGGTCTGGCACCGCCCTGGTCCTTATTGAAGTCTTGGACATCAATGACAATGCCCCCACATTTTCAAAGTTTCGCTATGAGGTCCAGGTCCCAGAGAACAGTCCTGTTGGATCCCAGGTTGCTACAGTCTCTGCTAGGGATTTAGACATTGGGAACTACGGAAAAATAGCTTATGCTTTTTCCCAAGCTTCTGAAGACATTCGGAAAACATTTAGAATGAATGGAACATCTGGAGAAATCCTTTTAGCAACAACACTGGATTTCGAATCCATCCAAACATATACAGTGTATGTTCAGGCTACAGATGGTGGGGGACTTTCTGGAAGCAGTGTGGTGTTTGTTCAAGTGATGGATTTGAATGACAACCCACCGGAACTGACTATGTCCACACTTACCAATCACATCCCAGAAAACTCCCCGGAAACCGTAATTGCTGTGTTCAGTGTTGCAGATCCTGACTCTGGAGACAACGGAAAAATGCTGTGCTCCATCCCAGAGGATCTTCCTTTTATTCTAAAACCCTCAGTTGAGAACTTCTACACTCTTATGACAAACACAGCCCTGGACCGGGAGACCAGATCACAGTACAACATCACCATTACCATCACTGATCTGGGCACACCCAGGCTCACAACCCAGCACACCATAACAGTGCAGGTGTCCGATGTCAATGACAATGCTCCAGCCTTCACACAAACCTCCTACACCCTGTTTGTCCAGGAGAACAACAGCCCCGCCCTGCACATAGGCACCATCAGTGCCACAGACTCAGACTCAGGCTCCAATGCCCACATCACCTACTCTCTGCTACCCACCCACGACCCGCAGCTGGCCCTCGACTCGCTCATCTCCATCAACGCAGAAAACGGGCAGTTGTTTGCGCTCAGGGCACTGGACTATGAGGCTCTGCAGACCTTCAAGTTCCAGGTGGGCGCCACAGACCAAGGCTCTCCTGCGCTCAGCAGCCAGGCGCTGGTGCGAGTGCTGGTGCTGGACGCCAACGACAATGCGCCCTTCGTGCTCCACCCGCTGCAGAACGCCTCTGCACCCTGCACAGAGCTGCTGCCCAGGGCGGCAGAGCCAGGCTACCTGGTCACCAAGGTGGTGGCAGTGGACCGAGACTCTGGACAGAACGCCTGGCTGTCATTCCAGCTGCTCAAGGCCACAGAGCCCGGGCTGTTCAGCGTGTGGGCTCACAATGGTGAGGTGCGCACCTCCAGGCTGCTGAGTGAGCGCGATGCTCCCAAGCACAGGCTGCTGCTGCTGGTCAAGGACAATGGAGATCCTCCAAGGTCTGCCAGTGTCACTCTGCATGTGCTGCTGGTGGATGGCTTCTCTCAGCCCTACCTGCCTCTGCCAGAGGTGGCGCGCGACCCCGCCCAGGATGAGGACGCGCTCACACTGTACCTGGTCATTGCCTTGGCTTCTGTGTCTTCCTTCTTCCTCTTGTCTGTGCTGCTGTTTGTGGGAGTGAGGCTGTGCAGGAGGGCCAGGGCGGCCTCTCTGGGTGGCTGCTCTGTGCCTGAGGGACACTTTCCTGGTCACCTGGTGGATGTCAGAGGCACTGGGACCCTGTCTCAGAGCTACCAATATGAGGTGTGTCTGACTGGAGACTCTGGAACCACAGATTTCAAGTTTCTGAAGCCTGTTATTCCCAACTTCCTTCTTCAGAGTTCAGAGAGAGAGAATAATACAAACGCCAGTTACAGTAATAGTTTTGAGTTCAATTAAATATTGATGAGGAAATACGGAGTCGAGTCTCGGCTAAAACGTTAAAGGCCTGATTTTACTGCTTTGCCAGCTGAAGGAGTCTCTTTTCCTTTGAAAGTAACTATCTTACTCCAATCCTTTGCACATTACTGGTATTTCTAAATAAGTAAGGTCTGTGGAATAAGGAATCTAAATTTTGCTTGTATTCCAATTGTAATTAGTCTTGTAGTTTTGTTTGACTTATAATGTGAGAGTAAAATTTGTGTTTTCAGAAATCATTTTATTTTTAGACAGGACCTCACTATGTAGCTCCGGCTGTCCTGGAACTCACTATGTAGACCGGGCTGGTCTCCAACTCACAGAGATCCATCCACCTGTCTCTGCCTCCTGGATTAAAGGTGCATGGATGGCACTGTGCCCTGCAGAAATATTTGAAGTTTGAGTTAGAGCATCATTACCCAAATTTAACTTCTCCAGTTCTGGCTTATTCTAAAGTGCTGTCTAAAATTGTTTTCTCTCATTATTTGAGTGGTAACAATTTGCAGCCCAGACTATTTGTTTTCATTTATTCTCTTGTTAATATAACATTTATCTTATGATCTGACTTGAAACTCTTTACACAGGTGTGAATAAATATAATATTCTTTCCATGTTTATCTACACACATATTTTAAAGTATCAGCATGCAAAACTTAAAATTTTTTAAAGATTGTGGGAACCCTAATTGTTGGATTTCACAAAGTATTCAAATTGTAAATGCAAAACAACCTCAATTGAAATTGTATTTCTATGATTTTAAAATTTAAAAATTCTGAAATATCTATGATTTTTAAATTTCCATCTGTTCTAAACGATGTAGCTAAAGGATGTATGCCTAGTGATTTTCAAGGGCATGATAATTTTTTATGTTTTATTTCAAATAGTCTTTCAAAACTCTTGTGCTGAACTCAATATTTTTAAATTTTTTTTTTTTTTTTGGTTTTTCGAGACAGGGTTTCTCTGTGTAGCTTTGCGCCTTTCCTGGGACTCACTTGGTAGCCCAGGCTGGCCTCGAACTCACAGAGATCCGCCTGGCTCTGCCTCCCGAGTGCTGGGATTAAAGGCGTGCGCCACCACCGCCCGGCCTAAATTTTTTTTTGAGAAAAGGTCTCATTGTGGTCTTGAACTTGTGACAGGTCCTCCCCCATCCAGAGTGCTGGGATTACAAGCATTGCATTAACATTTCCAGTTAATTAAACTACTCAGGACTTTATTATAATTGAACTGTACACAACAGAGTATGCTTTTATCTTTTATCAACTTAGAAAATTTGTATGTGGCTTGGTATTCCATTCTAAAAATATTTCCCGGGCATTAAAGATTTAAATGAACATAAGTTCGTGAGTAGTGTATGTGGATCCATTATAATTTTTATTAATTTTCTGGATGGACTTGTTCTATTTACCCTCTTTAATACCATAGACTTTTCAATGCCTTTGTAAAATAAAGTTTGTGATGGGCCAATGAGATGGTCAACAGGCCTGACAACCTGAGTTCATCCCCTGACCCACATGATGGGAGTAGAAAACCAAACTCCTCTGACTTAAACACACACACACACACACACACACACACACACACACACACACAAATAATTGTTTAAAAATTCAAGTTTTTGAGTTATGTTTATGGGTAGCTCCCTTTTATTTCATAATTAGCACAGTCACTTGGATGTTTTAGGTTCTTATTTTTTTTGACTGATTGAAAGAAGAATTGTTTTAGTTGTGACATACTGATAATTAAATGTGGTAAGATACTTAATGAACAAAACTTTTGCTGGAACTAAATATTATGACATACAGTATAATAAGCTGATTTTGCTATAGTTATTTGAATGTTATGCAGTTATCACTCTATTGTTTTTTCAATATATCTTTCCTTTTTCCTCTCTTAATGCTTAGTTCAAGTCTCCTATCCACTGCCTTAATGAATACAGAATTCTGATATTTAATTTTATAATTTAAATATGCTTCGATGTTTCCCAAGTCACTCACTCAACTTGCTTCACTTCTTGCAGTTGGATTTGTGACACAAAGTGCTATCAATATTTTAATCCCTAATGTTTCTCAACCTAATATTAATTTTTACATAATTTTATGTGTATTTGAATGAGGTGTGATATTAAATGTATGGAATTTGAATATCTGATTTGAGATGAGCAGAGCCAGAAAGGACAGTCTTGGTATCAAAGTCTCTAGTTAACCACCTTATCTATCACATGTGGAACCTTGGTTAAGTGACCTCCCGTGACATCCACTGTTTCAATTATCGTCAACTGTCTTGCAGTCAGTATCAAGTACCGTAACATGTCATTATAGAAATATAATTGCTATTAGTTTCAGTGCCACTGATATTAGGAATAAACTCAGTAATGAGCAAGTGTGTATCCCTCCTGACACTCATAGAGAGAGCAGATTGCTTCATGTGTGCCCTTGTAATGTAAATCATGTAAATGAGGACTCTTCTTAGAGATAGCTAACCCCGTTTAGTGTATTATACTTGCTTCGTTTTTGTTTAACTTATGTGGCACAAGAAACTCCCTCAGTAGGGTCAAGTAGGTTTGATAAGGGGAAAAAAACCGACATAGATCAAAACCAGTAACAAAACCTTTTCTAAGAATTTAAAACTGAAAACGAACACATGGTGGCGCTGTTGACAAAAAATGCGAATTAAGACACTTAGACTCCGTACTCAGATTGACAGAGGGATCCGGTGCGGTAAGACAAGCGCTTGTGAACCTGGGCAGATTTTTAAGCAGGAAAGTCTGAATCTCTGGAAAACATTACTTGTTAGGCTATCTCCAAAAGACTGCGCTTTTCACAGAGAAATACAAGGCTCCTTTTGGTGACAAGCCCCTGGAAAAACACCGCAGAAATACAATGGAGGCCAGAGAAGAGTGCTTCCTTAAACAAAGGCAAGTCTTGCTTCTCTTTGTTTTTCTAGGTGGGTCTCTGGCTGGGTCTGGATCTAGGCGCTATTCTGTTGCCGAGGAAAAAGAGAAGGGCTTCTTAATAGCCAATCTAGTGAAGGATCTGGGGCTCAGGGTAGAAGAACTGGCTGAAAGGAGAGCTCAGGCTATCTCCAAAGGGAACATACAGTATTTTCAGCTCAGCCACCAGACCGGAGATTTGCTCCTGGTTGAGAAATTGGACCGAGAGGAGATGTGCGGTTCCACAGAACCTTGTGTGCTGCACTTTCAGATATTGCTGCATAATCCTTTGCAGTTTATTACAAATGAGCTCGAGGTCATAGATATAAATGATAACGCTCCGGAGTTCTTTGAAAATGCGATGCAGCTTAAAGTCCTGGAAAGCTCCCCACCTGGGACAGTAATTCCTTTGGGAAATGCTATGGACCTGGACGTGGGAAGAAACGGACTCCAGAACTACACGGTCTCTCCCCAGTCCCATTTCCACGTTCGCACCCGCCGTCGTAGGGATGGAAGGAAGTATCCAGAACTAGTGCTAGACAGAGCTCTGGATCGGGAGGAGCAGCCAGAGCTCAGTTTAACTCTCACAGCCCTGGATGGAGGATCCCCACCTCAGTCTGGCACTGCCCAGGTCCACATCCTGGTCTTAGACGTAAACGATAATGCCCCAGAATTTACACAGTCACTCTATGAGGTTCAGGTTCTAGAGAAGAGTCCTGTTGGCTCTGTCATTATCACGGTCTCAGCTTCTGACTTAGATGTGGGGAATTTTGGTGCAATATCCTATGTGTTTTTCCATGCTTCTGAAGAAATTCTCAAAACTTTTCAACTAAATCCCACTACTGGTGATATACAGTTAGTTAAGGCTTTGGATTATGAAACAATTAATACTTTCGAAGTTGACATAGAGGCCAAAGACGGTGGAGGCCTTTCGGGAAAATGCACAGTCATAGTCCAGGTAGTTGATGTGAATGATAACCCACCAGAACTGACTTTGTCATCAGTTAACAGTCCTATCCCGGAGAATTCGGACGAGATTGTGGTGGCTGTTTTCAGTGTTGCTGATTTAGACTCTGGAGATAATGGTAAAGCAACCTGTTCCATCCAGAATGATCTCCCATTCATCCTGAAACCATCTGTAGAGAACTTCTACACTATAGTGTCTGAAGGAGCTCTAGACAGAGAGAGCAGAGCTGAGTACAACATCACCATCACAGTCACCGACATGGGCACACCCAGGCTCACAACCCAGCACACCATAACAGTGCAAGTATCTGACGTCAACGACAACGCCCCCGCCTTCACACAAGCCTCCTACACCCTGTTTGTCCAGGAGAACAACAGCCCCGCCCTGCACATAGGCACCATCAGCGCCACAGACTCAGACTCAGGCTCCAATGCCCACATCACCTACTCTCTGCTGCCCACCCACGACCCGCAGCTGGCCCTCTCCTCGCTCATCTCCATCAATGCTGACAGCGGGCAGCTGTTCGCGCTCAGGGCGCTGGACTACGAGGCCCTGCAGACCTTCGAGTTCCACGTGGGCGCCTCAGACCAAGGCTCTCCTGCGCTCAGCAGCCAGGCGCTGGTGCAAGTGCTGGTGCTGGACGCCAACGACAATGCGCCCTTCGTGCTCTACCCGCTGCAGAACGCCTCTGCACTCTGCACAGAGCTGCTGCCCAGGGCGGCAGAGCCAGGCTACCTGGTCACCAAGGTGGTGGCAGTGGACCGAGACTCTGGACAGAACGCCTGGCTGTCATTCCAGCTGCTCAAGGCCACAGAGCCCGGGCTGTTCAGCGTGTGGGCTCACAATGGTGAGGTGCGCACCTCCAGGCTGCTGAGTGAGCGCGATGCTCCCAAGCACAGGCTGCTGCTGCTGGTCAAGGACAATGGAGATCCTCCAAGGTCTGCCAGTGTCACTCTGCATGTGCTGCTGGTGGATGGCTTCTCTCAGCCCTACCTGCCTCTGCCAGAGGTGGCGCGCGACTCCGCGCAGGACAATGAGGACTTGCTCACTCTGTACCTGGTCATTGCCTTGGCTTCTGTGTCTTCCCTCTTCCTCTTGTCTGTGCTGCTGTTTGTGGGGGTGAGGCTGTGCAGGAGGGCCAGGGCGGCCTCTCTGGGTGGCTGCTCTGTGCCTGAGGGACACTTTCCTGGTCACCTGGTGGATGTCAGCGGCACTGGGACAGAAGTGTGTCTGACAGGAGACTCTGGGACAGGTGAGTTCAAATTCCTGAATCCGGTGATACCAAACCTGTTTATGGAAGGATCTGAGAGAGAAGTTAAGGGAAGTCCCCACTGCAGGAGTAGTTTTTTAGTCAGCTAAATATTGCAAATGGTTCACCATCTCTCAGTTTCGGTCAACTTCTTACTGTAATTAGTCTTTTAAGAAGTGCTGCCTAATATTTTTTAACCAGTAATCCAACCTATGGCATCCCAAATAGCTCTAAACTTGTTACTCTATTAGTAAATTAATTTAGTAAATTAATACTAATTTTACTTAGGATTTTGTAGTTGTGCCAATTATATATGCATCTTCTCCATATTTGGGCATTTCTTGGTGATTATTGTCCTAACAGTTAATGAAACTAATGTCTTCATGACATTCTGTAACTTTTCAGTGCACTGAAGAAAAATTAAAGTTGTGTGTATTTGTGGCACATATCTTTACTGTATAACTTTATGGACTTTTAGGCTACATTGCTTGGAATTCTTTCTGAGTCCTTGGCCTTTTTGGGTTAAGCAATCTGCATAGCTATAAAATTTAGCACACTTATTTCTCCGAAATTATATGTAAACACACATTTCATTAAAACATCAGTGCATGGAAGTTGTGTCGTATCCTGTTGTGAGAACCGTGTATCCTAGATATTGTTATGTGCATTTTTTATTATTGCAGTGTGCAGATAATTATAGTGTGCCGTAAACACTACAATTAAACTTCTCAAATAATTATTATACAATAAAAATTAAGGAGAAAATATTATATGCTTCCTCCTTTTTTGTGTGTGTGAAGCCAGTCTGTTAATCACTGGTTTGATGTAATCCTTTAAAAAAATAATCTCAGAATCTGAATTATGAACCAACTTCCCCTCAGTTAATTGAGGGCTCTTCAGGGCATTGACTTTCTGTGTCTCCTTCCTTCCTTTACCACATTGACAGAGGTCCCAGTATAATGAACAGATTGTAATTTCTTGGGGTCTCTAGTTTTCCCTACCTTTAAAAAGAGGAAATTTCTTCTGAATTTTGGCCCTTATGTTTAATGCTGATCTCAGACATTTGATTTTATAATATTTGATAGCAATGGGAAGTTTTTTAAATACTTAAAAAATTCTTTTTTGGGTGTTTCATTTTACTTTTGTTGCCTAATGTAGTCTTCAGCTATTATAAATTAGCTTCGTTTTTAGATTAAGGAAAGGTTTATTTGTATGAAATACATATTATTTTGAGCATAATATGATGGGATAATATTGCATTTGTCTGAATCGTGATTGTTTGCTCTAATGTTCAGTAAGACTAGTGAAGTTACGATGTGATTTATGAGTAGATTTATTTTTGTTCTAACTATGAAATGTTATTGAACTTTGTCAGAAAACATGAGCCATTTAAAAACTTTCCTTATAATCTAATATTTATTTTAAGATCCAGTATATTATACTCCCAGATTTATTTTAAAATCCCGTATGTTTTATTCCTGGAGTTTTAGGACCTGTGTACTCCCAGAATTACTTTTACCCTTTAACAAAAAGGAAAGCTAATGAGAGCTTGACATAGTCTTGAAACATAGTTTTTAGTCTTTATCCAACCTTAAAAGTGAATCAAGAAAGAGATAAAACTCAGAACAGAGTCAAGCACAAATATATGACATAATGACTTTTCCATTGTTATCAGATACATAAATGAAATATATTTGGGATGACCATTAATAAACCTAAATGAAGGTTTACATTATACTTTAACATCATGACAAATTCAAGCCCACTTTAACTTAGCCACCCAAGTCCATTTTGTATAATCATGTAGATGAAGGTGGGCAAAATAAACACCAAGGGACACCCCACTCTGATCCTGCTGTGTATTCAAAAAGTGTGGGACATTCTAGACCAGCTAGGGGCCACCACCAGCTTATAAAATGAACCAGCAATTTGAATTTCAGTTACTACACTGTAAGAGTAAACATGAGCCAAACAACTTACGCAAAATGCATACCTTAGGAACAAGGTCATTTTGTTGTTACTGAAAAAAGTGGAGAATAGAACTCAGGTATCTTTTTTTTTAATTAAGAAAAATTTTTCATTCATTTTACACACCAATCAAAGATATCCCTCTTTACTCCTCCCACCCCCCACCCCCAGCCTCCTTTTCCAACTCATTCCCCACTCCCTCCCACAAGAAGGCAAGGCCTCCCATGTGGAAGCACATTCAGTAGAGGCAAGTCCAAGCCCTCGCCCCTGCCTCAAGGCTGCACAAGGTGTCCCATCATAGGTAGTGGGCTCCACAAAGCCCACTCATGCACCAGAGATGGATTCTGATCCTACCGCCAGGGGGCCTCTTAAGCAGATCAAGCTTCACAATTGTCTCACCATGCAAAGGACCTAGTCCAGTCCCATGTAGGCTCCACAGCCACTGGTCCAACTTTGATGAGTTCCCTCTAGTTTGGTTTGGTCATCCCTGCATGTTTCCTCATCATGATCCTGATGTACTTGCTCATAGAATCCCTCTTCTCTCTCTCTCTGACTGGACTCCTGGAGCTCTGTCTAGTGATTAGCTGTGGATCTCTGCATCTACTTCTATCCATCACTGGCGAAAAGTTTTATGATAATAGTTAGGGTATTTACCAATCTGATCTCTGGGGAAAGCCAGTTCAGTTCAAGCACCCTTTCCACTATTGCTAGTAGTACAGACTGGGGTCATCATTGGGGATTCCTGACAACTTCCCTAGCACCGGGTTTTTCTCTATCCCATGATGTCTCTCTCTATCATGGTATCTCTTTCATTGCATTCCCCCTCCCTCCCTGTTCAACCATCCCATTCCCCTATGCTCTCATCCCCAGTCCCCTACGCTCCAATTGTCCAGCCCTCACCCCCAGTTTACTCATGGAGATCTCATCTATTTCCCCTTTCCAGGACAGTCCATGTGTCCCTCTTTGGTTCTTCCCTGTTAGTTAGCTTCTCTGGAGTTGTGGGTTGTTGCCTGATTACACTTTGCTTTACATCTAGTATCCACTTATGAGTAGGTACATACCGTGTTTGTCCTTCTGAGTCTGGGTTACCTCACTCAGGATGATATTTTCTAGTTCCATCCATTTGCCTGCAAATTTCATGACATCATTGTTTTTCTTTGCTGAGTAGTACTCCATTGTGTATATGTACCACATTTTCTTAATCTGTTCTTCGGTTGAGGGGCATCTAGGTTGTTTCCAGGTTCTGGAAGCCAGGTATCTTGATAATGGCACATATGTTAATATGTCTTTCTTCCTCAGATACTTCTATTACATATGCATCTCTTGCAATTTGGTGCTGCTGTTTTTAAGGCATGGAATGCGTTTAACATGTGCTGTTTCAGGGCAGAAATTCTACTGAAGGTGGTCAAGCTCATATCACCTTAAGACTTGCTCTTTGCATGATCAAAAGTACATATTATAATTAATTAATTAATATAATAATTAATATAATTAACATTATTAATATAGTATATTGCATTATTAGTGTCAGGCTAAAATGTGTGCTTATATCTGTAGAATTAACCTTCTATTTTAGACTGATTGTCTGACATCACAGAGCAATTAAACTTACAGGCTAAAAGTCAGAAATTATACTTTTAAAATAAAAAGACAGTGATATTATAAGAATTGGGTGGGCTAAGATTTCTGAGAAGAAAGGTCCTTGGGCAACTGAACTAACAGTCTGTATTGCCTCAGAGAAATTTGCTAAGTCTGAAAAATGCAACAAGTTCTTGATGGGGACAAAGTAAATCGGCAATCTTTGACAGGCTGGAGGATTCAAGCTTTGATTTAGTTTCACCATTCATAGCACTTAAACTCAGGGCAGACATCCAGGGTAACAGAACCCAAGCAGAAAATTCATCAAAAGCAGAGTGAAGTTTTAATTGCTAAACGAATAGTCTGGAGCCTTCAATGAGAAGGGGATATAGGAATATAACAAGTTCTCAACTGTAAATGTTGTAGAGTTGGGTGCTTATTAGGCTTGCAAAAAACCTCAACCAAGTAGAGTGCCTGTTTGCATCAGGGTGGTTTGATTAGACAGAGCTCTAACAAGCGAACAGCAAAAGGTGAATTCCTGCTAGAGAAAGATAATAGAATCATGATCCCAGATAGCTTTTACATAGTTTCCCAACATTCTGTAGAAATTTCAAGGCACTCATCAACATAACTAAATTCTATAAAGATTCTATAAAAAAATAATAAAAATATGGTCTAAATGATTCAGATATTAGAAGTGAATGTCTCAAACAGTTTTTTTTAACATATAGCTAATGTGTTAAAATAAGGAACAGTGTATAAAAGATTTTAAAAGGAAGTTTTACCATCAAATGGAAACTTTAACCTGTAAACTCTGTAACTGAGAAAAAAACATAACATGGAACTAAGTCGGTTAATGCCATAGATATAAAGAAATGCAGAAAAAGTGGTTGCAAGATGACTCCAGATGAAATATCCAAATAGAAACACAAAGAAAATATAGTTAAAGTGTCGAAAAGAACATTGGTAACATTTGGGATATAACGAATTTCTCTCACATGCATACAACTGTAATCCTAGATGGGATGAGAGAATAAGAAAGAAATAATGAACAACAATTACTAAATTGGTAAAGGTCTTCCACTTAGTGAAACTCAGAATAAGTAAAAGACAAAGAACAGTCAGCTGTGTCACAGGAAAGTTGATCAATACCTAGTTGAAAAGGAAAAAATTAATTCTTAAAGCAACCACATGAATATGGTAAAATTATTTTAAAAAATATTCTGCAAGATGGACAGCTGATTTTAAAACATAAATCATGAAACTAAAGACAATGTCTCTAAAGTCTTTCAAGTTATTTAAAAAGTAGAATTATATTACCTTCACACCCTTCAAAAATGAAGTTATTTTGGACAGAGAATTAATCACATTCTAATCAGCATCAAAAGAAATACTTTTTGTGTAACTCATTAGACAGAAAGAAACAATTCTAAGACTATGGAATTCTGTTGAGAAGCAAACAGTAACAGGAAAGGTAAATATAAACACACATTGTTTGGCTATTGGTTATACAAGGTAGGAAGAATAGTTTTTTTGAAATTCATAAAAGCAATAATTAAAAGCAGAGGCATAGTAGTAAAGAGGTCTAAAGTTCTCATCTCTATCATGGGAGTAGTAAAATTAATAATTTGTTTTACAGCATTATTACACATCAAGATGCATGTTGTGAATTTGTGGATTGCTCTAAAAAGTAACTAAAAAGGAACTGAGGGGGAACTAATGTATGAATAAGGGAAAAGAAGAAAACTTCTTTAGTGACAAAGGAAAAAATTACTGAGATTGTATGTATAGCTGGGAAGATGTGAGATATTACATTACTTACAAGTATATTAAGTAATCCAATTGAACAACAAAAATTTTCAGACTTGTTTTAAGAAATACTCAACTATATACCATCAAATATGTAAGAGGTAGAGAGAAGAGATAATACAGAAAGACTGAAAGTTGCACAATTAAATAAAGTGTATGATACAAATACTAGCCACAATATGACTAAGGCAGCTATTTTCATTCATTTATATTATAAGAGTGAGTCAAGGAAAAATATTACTAACAACTCAGGCAGCTACCTCATAATAATGAAGAGAAAAATACACAAGGAATATGTGGGTTCCATAATTGCATACTTGTGATAAAATAATTACAAACTACAAAAGATAAGGTAAGCTGGGTACAAATGTAAGAGATACAAACCACAATGATATTGGGAAACTTGATAGCA